TCATTGTGTGTGTGCTTGTCGGGGTTATTTATATTGTATATTTTTCATTGTGTGTGTGCTTGTCGGGGTTATTTATATTGTATATTTTTCATTGTGTGTGTGCTTGTCGGGGTTATTTATATTGTATATTTTTCATTGTGTGTGTGCTTGTCGGGGTTATTTATATTGTATATTTTTCATTGTGTGTGTGCTTGTCGGGGTTATTTATATTGTATATTTTTCATTGTGTGTGTGCTTGTCGGGGTTATTTATATTGTATATTTTTCATTGTGTGTGTGCTTGTCGGGGTTATTTATATTGTATATTTTTCATTGTGTGTGTGCTTGTCGGGGTTATTTATATTGTATATTTTTCATTGTGTGTGTGCTTGTCGGGGTTATTTATATTGTATATTTTTCATTGTGTGTGTGCTTGTCGGGGTTATTTATATTGTATATTTTTCATTGTGTGTGTGCTTGTCGGGGTTATTTATATTGTATATTTTTCATTGTGTGTGTGCTTGTCGGGGTTATTTATATTGTATATTTTTCATTGTGTGTGTGCTTGTCGGGGTTATTTATATTGTATATTTTTCATTGTGTGTGTGCTTGTCGGGGTTATTTATATTGTATATTTTTCATTGTGTGTGTGCTTGTCGGGGTTATTTATATTGTATATTTTTCATTGTGTGTGTGCTTGTCGGGGTTATTTATATTGTATATTTTTCATTGTGTGTGTGCTTGTCGGGGTTATTTATATTGTATATTTTTCATTGTGTGTGTGCTTGTCGGGGTTATTTATATTGTATATTTTTCATTGTGTGTGTGCTTGTCGGGGTTATTTATATTGTATATTTTTCATTGTGTGTGTGCTTGTCGGGGTTATTTATATTGTATATTTTTCATTGTGTGTGTGCTTGTCGGGGTTATTTATATTGTATATTTTTCATTGTGTGTGTGCTTGTCGGGGTTATTTATATTGTATATTTTTCATTGTGTGTGTGCTTGTCGGGGTTATTTATATTGTATATTTTTCATTGTGTGTGTGCTTGTCGGGGTTATTTATATTGTATATTTTTCATTGTGTGTGTGCTTGTCGGGGTTATTTATATTGTATATTTTTCATTGTGTGTGTGCTTGTCGGGGTTATTTATATTGTATATTTTTCATTGTGTGTGTGCTTGTCGGGGTTATTTATATTGTATATTTTTCATTGTGTGTGTGCTTGTCGGGGTTATTTATATTGTATATTTTTCATTGTGTGTGTGCTTGTCGGGGTTATTTATATTGTATATTTTTCATTGTGTGTGTGCTTGTCGGGGTTATTTATATTGTATATTTTTCATTGTGTGTGTGCTTGTCGGGGTTATTTATATTGTATATTTTTCATTGTGTGTGTGCTTGTCGGGGTTATTTATATTGTATATTTTTCATTGTGTGTGTGCTTGTCGGGGTTATTTATATTGTATATTTTTCATTGTGTGTGTGCTTGTCGGGGTTATTTATATTGTATATTTTTCATTGTGTGTGTGCTTGTCGGGGTTATTTATATTGTATATTTTTCATTGTGTGTGTGCTTGTCGGGGTTATTTATATTGTATATTTTTCATTGTGTGTGTGCTTGTCGGGGTTATTTATATTGTATATTTTTCATTGTGTGTGTGCTTGTCGGGGTTATTTATATTGTATATTTTTCATTGTGTGTGTGCTTGTCGGGGTTATTTATATTGTATATTTTTCATTGTGTGTGTGCTTGTCGGGGTTATTTATATTGTATATTTTTCATTGTGTGTGTGCTTGTCGGGGTTATTTATATTGTATATTTTTCATTGTGTGTGTGCTTGTCGGGGTTATTTATATTGTATATTTTTCATTGTGTGTGTGCTTGTCGGGGTTATTTATATTGTATATTTTTCATTGTGTGTGTGCTTGTCGGGGTTATTTATATTGTATATTTTTCATTGTGTGTGTGCTTGTCGGGGTTATTTATATTGTATATTTTTCATTGTGTGTGTGCTTGTCGGGGTTATTTATATTGTATATTTTTCATTGTGTGTGTGCTTGTCGGGGTTATTTATATTGTATATTTTTCATTGTGTGTGTGCTTGTCGGGGTTATTTATATTGTATATTTTTCATTGTGTGTGTGCTTGTCGGGGTTATTTATATTGTATATTTTTCATTGTGTGTGTGCTTGTCGGGGTTATTTATATTGTATATTTTTCATTGTGTGTGTGCTTGTCGGGGTTATTTATATTGTATATTTTTCATTGTGTGTGTGCTTGTCGGGGTTATTTATATTGTATATTTTTCATTGTGTGTGTGCTTGTCGGGGTTATTTATATTGTATATTTTTCATTGTGTGTGTGCTTGTCGGGGTTATTTATATTGTATATTTTTCATTGTGTGTGTGCTTGTCGGGGTTATTTATATTGTATATTTTTCATTGTGTGTGTGCTTGTCGGGGTTATTTATATTGTATATTTTTCATTGTGTGTGTGCTTGTCGGGGTTATTTATATTGTATATTTTTCATTGTGTGTGTGCTTGTCGGGGTTATTTATATTGTATATTTTTCATTGTGTGTGTGCTTGTCGGGGTTATTTATATTGTATATTTTTCATTGTGTGTGTGCTTGTCGGGGTTATTTATATTGTATATTTTTCATTGTGTGTGTGCTTGTCGGGGTTATTTATATTGTATATTTTTCATTGTGTGTGTGCTTGTCGATTTATTTGTCATATTGTATATTTTCTATCGGGTATTTTGTGTGTGCTTGTATATCGAAGCAGTGTGTGGTGTGCGAACTTGCCTTTTTTAATTTTTATTTGTATATAGTATATAATTAGTGTCCATACCAAATAAACTTAGTGCACCGATGACGTGTCGTCTTTTGTTTTTATATCAGTTTCCTCTGCGACACCTTCGTCATATTGAAAGGGTTCCATACTGCATGACATACGCTTGGTGGAACGTTGTAAAAGTTTATGTTGTTCAAAATACTGTTGATGTCGTTTTGCTCCTTTCCCCCTTTTTTTTCGTCAATTCTATAGTGAAACTATCCCGTAAGCCCTTCCATTTACGCTTAAAGTTTAGTCCTAAAAGAAAACGTGTAACGTAGGTAATATATCATTAAATACTCAAACTATATATTTGCAATATTAAAAGTTCACTAATAAAGGGATACTTTATAGGTATTTGGCGACTGGATGTTCCATGATCGATTTATATTTATCTTTTCGATTGGAACTAGCAACAATCTCTGATATCGTTCGGGAAGTTCGTTTTGAGAGGAACTGTGACGAGTACTGAAGAACATTGTTATTCCTGCACCAACCAGAGACATATGTATGGTTAGAAGTGGCCAACGGATTTGCAAAAAAGTAAACTTCCCCAATTCCATTGGTGCCATTGACGGAAAACATATTCGCACGATAAAACCAATCGAAAGCGGATCGTTGTTTTATGATTATAAACATCTCTTTCCGTTCATATTATTGGCTGTATGCGATCGATTCAAATAATAAATTCTTATTCGTAGACGCAGGCGCCTATGGTAAATCATCAGAGTCGACGATATTCAAAAATTTGATGCTGTATCAAAAACTGACCGATAGTCAGTTAAACATTCCTCCGGATCGACTATTAAAAGGCCGATAGAAGTACTCTCTTCATTATTGTTGCTGACGAAGGATTTGGAATATCTACATATTTGATGTGGCTGTATAGTGGAAATTTTTTATCCGTTAAAAAGAAAGTTCTTAACTATCGTTTATCAAGAGCAAGGTGATACATTGAGTGTAGTTTCAGAATTCTCACTAACAAATAGAAAATTTTCTACAGACCTCCGAATGTCTCCTTCGATTTATCAGAAATGATCATTAAAGCCTGTTGTGTGCGTCACAACTTTGTGCGCGAAAGGGATGGATATAATTTTCAACATACGCTAACAGTGCCGTCGGTACTTACGAATATGGAGAGAAATTCGGTGCAAGGAGGTTAAACAGGCAAGAATGTTCCAGACAAATTTGCCACTTATTTCTTAAGTAGTCAGGGCAAAGTGCCGTGGCAGTTGAATAAAATATAGAATAGGTATATAAGTGCATCTCACTACTTTGCTTACTGTTTATTGTATATTGAAACAAGAATCACAATAAATCATAATCCTCACCAATCGTTTGATTTTCAAGACAGTTTGGGTTTAGAAATATTACGATAATTAAACAATCCTGGATTATCACTAGGAATTAAATTTGGTCGAGCAACTGTGTTTTGACCTCCAATCTCTCCAGCCTTTCTATATTTCAAAACATTTCTCATACTAAATATTTAATAAAAGCAAGTTAACTTCTTCATAAATATCACAAAAAAAAACATTAAAAAATAGACTGAAATACATCTATGAATGGGTGGATTACCCACGCGTGATAATAACATCGCCGATGGAGAATATTAGCTGATCTCGACAATTAATTGACGATTATATGATAGGATCGCCATCAATTTTTCTAGAAATAGAAACGTGCTCATCTCAGCTAGATAATGGATTTGACACTGTCATTGTTTTGCATTTTACCTATTACACGAATTAAAACGAACTGTACATTATAATTAAGTGAAATTAAACTATTACTCTAATACAGCTTTTCAGATTCAGGGTGTTAGAACGTTTACGACTATGAAAATACATCAATTTTGGGCAAATTTTCAATGTGACATTTTTTGGCTCGATTCGTTTGCTGGTTTATTTAAAATCAATTGAAGCCAATTTTCTTTCACACAAATCACTTGAAACTTTGAAATAAGTAAGTTTTAAGAGAAACAACTGACAACAACAAAGTTTGACATTAAGGACCCATGTTTCATGGAACAAATGGAACACTGATAGTTACGCTACTGAGCGGAACACTTATGAAATCACTTTGGTATATGTTTGTCGGACATTTTTTTGTTTGGTATACCTTCACAATTAAACTACGTTTCTATGAAACCGATAAAGTAAACAAATGGAAATCATTCTTAAATATTTACTGTAATATGTTTAAAGCATCAATAAAGAGTATTCTTGTACTAATAAGTTTAAGGCTTTGGTTACCTTGTGACTGTGATATTCCAGATTTTGAGTACGTTAAGCCAAATTCAGTTGATGGAGTCGTCGATCATTATTGCGCTCCGGAATATAATTGCGGATATGATGGACAAACATTAAATTTATTATGTTTGAAACAGGTATGAAAGGTATAACTTCTTATTTTAAAATTTTTTATCTCTAGAAAAAAACTAAGTGTGATTTCCCGATTCTAAACTGTCAATACTATAAGCAGTAAAACTTCCGTATCACAGGTTTTTCGAAAATGTAACTTTTTTTGCTGAAAATGACTTAAAATGACCTAATTATGAAAGACATACATGAGATAATCAGAGGGAAGATGTTTTGAGTAGTTTTTATTGAAAATAAATACTTTTAGATTACACTTAACAATTCATTTTGGTAGTTGTAGTACCTACTGTTTTTAGTTGGAAAAGGTCTGTTTATAAGAGTCAGATGAAAAAGAAAAAGGAAGAAGGTGCTTTAAATTATTTGTAAATAAATATTTTATAGTTACATAACATATGCGAATTTCACAGTCACTGATCATAGATAATAGTCACTACTCAGTCGTTTCTGACTTCGCATCTATTGTTTATATAGATTCGCTTAAAAAGTGATATCCACTCAACAGTCGTTTATACGATTTAAATAGATACAAATTGTTACCGTTCGAGAAAGGTACAGGTATAATGTATGTATATAAAATAGGGGAAGGGGGCACTGTTGCATACCTTAACTTAACCTAAATTAAGTTAGTTTGTGTTGTTTTACGTTAAGGTGGGTAGTTTAAATTAAGGTATACAACAGTGCCACCCTTTCCGTATTTTATATACATACATTGTATGTGTACCTTCCTCGAATATGAACAATTTGTATCTATTTATATTGTATAAACGACGGCTGAGCATATATCACTTTTTAAGCGAATACAACATAAACTGCAGAAGCAAAGTCGGAATCGGCTAAGTAGTAACAGTTATCTATGATCGATAAGTAACTTTGAAATACCCGCATAGGTTATACATCTCTATGATAAAATTGTTGAAAACACCTTTCCCCTGTTTTTTTCATCTGAGTTTCTTGTAAATAGACATTTTCCAACTAAAAGCAGTACTACAAGAGTTTAACCGTTAACGGCAAGTGCCGAAATGAACTGTTGGTAACTGTGAAGTGCAATAAAAAAATGTTTATTTTCAATAAAAACTACTCAAAACACCTTCCCCCTGATTATTTCATGTAAGTTTTTCATAATTAAGTCATTTTAAGTCATTTGCAACAAGAAAAAGTTATATTTTCGAAAAAGCAATGCGTCATTTTGCGGATCTATTGCGGGCGGGTCTGTCGTTGTTAAAGGGGCAGTATAGTGAATTTTAATGAAATATCTAAAAGTAAAAATGTTTCATTTTTGGACAACGAGGCAATGAAGTTAGTTATCGGGACCAGGGTGACCAGAACTTCTCCTCGACGCGTAGCCGACCCGTGGCGCTAAAGTCGCCCAAAATCGCCACGATCGATTCAAATGCTAAAAATTAAATACATTACATATGGGAGACGATTCATCATTGGTCGAAATGTAGGTGCCTGCATAGCGCGTGATTCAAATATTTAGTATTCATATAAAGTTCGATCTATGCATCTATATGTACATAAAACTAGAATAAAATTTTTCATAGTTTTTAATTTAAGAAAAAATTTTCATTCTATTGTTTCATTTCAAAAGTCGCCCATCGGCAACGAGTCGCCTTCAAGAACATTTTAGTCGCCGAGACTTGTCAAAAGTAGCCTAAATGGTTTTAATTACATAATCTTGGTGATTACAATTCGTAGAAACTATCTCACTGTTTTATTTTCCGCTGCAATAACACTTTTAAAGAATTCTAATGTGGCATTACATAATTTTCCAAACGAAAAAATCGGATAAACATGGAACATTTTAAGTCCATTCACAATCATACAGTTGCAGTGCACACTTTAAAGACGACGATTTTGTTTGGAAATACAAGGATTTGATGCCTGAGCATACAGCTGTCAGGTTATTAAAAATGGCGATTTTTTCTTTACACCTTGGAGGAAAAGACTGCAAGAAAGCCGCAAAACACGTCAGTTTATATTAGAAAACGTTTTGTATTTAATAGACTGTCAGATAGCGAAAAAAGGAAAACAATTTTAAAAACCAATTTATTACAGTTTGCTAATGATAGGGGACATATCTACAGTCACAAGCTACAGAACAATGTATTAAATAACATGGATATTTAAACATTAATTTTAGTTTGTTAAAAAAAACAGTTTCTCAAAACAAAACTTGTTACCATCCGTCATTCATTTTAATAGAAGACTATACTCTACAATATTTTAAAAGTTTATTGGCGGACGGTTTTCTCGAATGCAAGATTTTATCATAGTAATATTACTTTGTATAAAAATTATGTAACTTGAAACGATTTTTGGCAGTCTGCCAAAAATAATTTAAAGTAACGTTAACGTAAGGTTTGAGAAATTTCACAAGGCAAACGATTTGCCTGTGTGTATATATCGAAAACGTATTTATCAATTAACAAATTTTGTTCCCATAACTCCAAACAATTCTTTACTGTGGATAACTTGTGTAACAGACTAACAGATCTTATAAATAAAATTGAAAAACTGTTTTAAATTTGCAAAAAAAAATAATTTTTAACAACGTTTTCCAGTCTGCCATTTTTTTTGGAAATATTTGGTTATCAAATAGACACGAACTATCAAATGGCAAACGAGTTGTAATGGTACAGATGTCAGTATTATGTATAAGAACATTTAGTTTCTTGGCGACACAGGCCGCTCACTATTACACATTGCACCACAAATGAATCAATTTTTGTCACTCTGCTATTATTTCTCTGCTTTGTTTAATTATTAAATAGACTAAATATTGAATGGCAGACAACTTGTGATGGTTTCAGTTTTATGTATAATGTTTGACAGCACTTACCTACATATCATCAAAATTTGTTTTAAGTCTTGGTTTCAATCAATATATGGGTATTAAATAGGAAAAATATTGATATTTAAAGGTACTAGTGTCAATATTTGTATTTAAAAGTTGCTTAGCAGTACTTATCCATGACAATTAATTATACGGAAGAACAAGCTTTTAGTTGACTAAATACTTGTTGCATATTTTTAAGTTTAAGTGTGTGTTTCTAAGAAAAACATAATAAAAGAATGTATTTTATAGACCAACAGCTCTGTTACGAGGGTGCGTTTTTAAGTTTGCGGAATGAATAGGCAGGTCCTTAGTGAGGGTACTTACCTAAGTCATTACGAACTAAGTAACTCATTGTTAGTATACCAAGTTTTTATAGTCATTATATCAGTAGTCTTTGAACTATCGTCGACGAAACAAGTCAATCGGGAACAAATTGTGAAATATGGAGAAAATTGAGTACCGCGCTTTTATAGTTTAGTATAAGTTCCTTACCAAGCGAGGAATTTCAGTTCAAACCATAGTGGATGAGATGTTATCCGTTTACAAGGACTCTTGCCCAGGTAAAACCAGTGGCATACCCACTTTAAGCAAGGCAGGGACTCACTTGAAGACGACCCACGGCCAGGCCGACCGATCGAGGTGACCACTTCGGAAATCATTCAAAAAGTCGAAAAATTAATATTGGAAGATGCCCGAATTAAGAAGAAACAGCTCGTAGAAATGGTAGAAGTATCAGATACAACCATTTTTAAAATTCTTCACGATCACCTTGGCATGACTAAAGTCAGCGCAAGATGAGTGCCGAGAATGCTCATTCCGTCTCAAAAACAACAGCGTGTGGAGTGTTCTCGCGCGTTTTTGGACCTCTGTAGTGAAGATAAAGATGTAGTATTGATTCGAATTGTTACTGGGGACGAAACTTGGGTTCATTATTACGAAACTGAGTCCAAACAGGACTCTGCAGTGGCACAAAGAAGGTACACCACCACCCAAGAAGTTTAAGGTGTCATAGTCGGCTGGGAAAATCATGGCGACAGTTTTTTGAGACTCACAAGGGATTCTGTTGATCGATTATAAAGATAAAGATAGATGGTCTACAATGAATAAAGTTAATGACGAAGGTCTGCTACGCTTGGAAAGCGGCTATATTCCCAATTTCGCACGTTGCGGCTCCGTACTTTTTCAAGTTTTTCCATACTTTTATAATACAATGGTGATAAAATCAATAAAAGTATAATTGTATAAATATGAAATAAGTATAAAATAATGTTAATTGTTATCGTAATAGCTGTATAAGAAAAATATTTGTAAGAAAACCTGCAGATCTATGTTTTATTTTGAAATACACCTAAAATTAGATAAAATTGAAATTTGTACCATCATTGTCTGCTAATCAATATTTGGTCTATTTAATGAAGACATAATGCAGGGAAACAAGTGAAGGATCATTTTCGCCAGGAAAAAAAATATACATAATGTTAGCACATGTACCATTACAAATCGTCTACCATTTGATAGGTCTATTATTTGATTATTAAATATTATAAGATAACCTTTATTTTATTTTACAACAAGAAAGATGAATCAGAAAGATTAAAATATTATAAAATGTCCGATGACTGTCATTGGTAATTAGTAAACACCTGATTATTTTTAATAAGAATATTGTAAGTGTGTTGTCTAAATGTATACCACGTTAATTATAATAGGTATATAAAAATAAAGTAATTTGAAAAACTATCGTTCATCAATATCGATTATTTAATCAACCCCATATGAATAAAGGGACTAAGTACATAGAATAAGAACACAGTTGCGGGAAATAGTATGTTCCGAAAGGCCAACCGATTGTGAATTTCAATGTTTCTCCAGATTGTAAACGACATCCTATTCTATACGAATGCGGTTCTTGTGTATCATCTGCGCCGAATGTGAAAAAGTGAGCAGCCACGTTTGGTTGGTCGACTTGTACTTAGTTATTGTACAATAGACTTATTACTTGCCATATTTTCTCACCTAACCTGTTCTCTTTGTAAATCGTCTTCTTTTATACTTCATTTACTTTCTCTAGCGAAGTGCCCCTTCCAATGTCTTGGATGCGCGCTGGCAAAATCGTAGGTAGGGAGAAAAAAGCTCATTATACTCTCGACTCTTATCCATTAAACATAC